AAGAGCGAAACTCCGTCTCAAAAAAAAAAAAAATAAAATAAAAAATAAATAAATAAATAAAATGTAGATTCAGACCGGGCCTGGTGGCTCACACCTATAATCCCAGCATTTTGGGAGGCTGAGGCAGGCAGATCACCTGAGGCTGGGAGTTCGAGACCAGCCTGGCCAGCATGGTGAACCCCATCTCTACTAAAAATACAAAAATTAGCCAGGTGTGGTGGCAGGCACCTGTAATCCCAGCTACTCAGGAAGTCGAGGCAGGAGAGTCGCTTTAACCCAGGAGGCAAAGGCTGCAGTGAGCCAAGAGCACGCCATTGCACTCCAGGTGGGCAACAGAGTGAGACTCCATCTCAAAAAAAAGAAAAAAAAATGTAGATTCAAAGTCCCCATCTTTCCAAACCAAGAAGAAAAAGGGTTCTGATTACACAAGTCAAAAGTGGAGTCTGGAGTCTATATTTTTTTTAAAGCGTACCAGAATATTTAGAGGAAAGTTAGTTCTATTCTTAAGAAATATTACTCCCAAATTTTTCAAATCTGGGAGACTTAACAGGGCCCTCCATCTGTAGAGGAAAGGTCAGGGTAGAGTGGCCAATTTAGAAAGTAAATCTGGTACACCATGTTATTCTGACCTTCAGCTTGGAAAGCTGTTTTTGCATTTCACCATTTTACCCTCCAAGGCTGTTAGGAGAACTGGATGTAGGAGGAGAGTCACAGAAGCAGGTATAGCCATTTTGTATTGAGGATTTGTTTTCGTTTTATTTTTCATCAGTATTTTTCATTGCATTTTTCACATCAACGGAGTTGGGTTTAGGGTTCCCCAGGAGAGCAAGGGAGATGGATGTGTCCCTCCCAGGGGTGCAAGGAAGAGGGCTGCGTCCAGCAGGTGAGGAGGGACAAGGGCACAGGGCACACACTCGTACACTGGGCACTGGAGGAGAAGGCAGTCTTTTGAGCACAGACACCAAAGAGTTAAACAGTCACCACCTGGTTCAGTGTTACAAAATGAGGGGAGTGACCACAGGGCTGGGGCACCAGACGCAGCATGAGGAAGGTGAATTTTGATTTTCTTTTTAGTTATTTTCACTTTTTTCCTTTTAACTTTTTTTTAAACATTTTACAAACATCTAAAAACTACAACACATCACAGCTACAGTGGGGTGAGGGGAGGGTACCAAAGAAAGCAGCCACAGAGTAGGGTGGGACGGGGCAGCCTAACCTACAGAGGCTATTGGTGTGGAAGGGTAAAATGGGGAAACTGAGGCTTCTAGTCCCTGTATTAGGGGTCCCTCACTCACTGCCCAACCTCTCCCCACTCAGAGGAGTTGCCAGGAGGGCCCCTGCTTCCTGCCTCTGCCCCAGCTCCTTGTGCTTTTGATCTGCTGGTTTGACCATATGCCTGGTTCTTTCCCTCCCCTGCTCCCCTGCCTGGGAGGGGACAGGTCAGGGGCGTGAGAGGGCAGCTGTGCTGTTCCCGTCTGTGCTGTGGTGGGTGGAACCTCTCACCCCAGAGGAGGCCTGTGCTTCTTGAGGAGGGAAGGAGATGGGCCTTGTCAGATGCCCTCAGATCTCTCTAGACTGTGGGACTCTTATTCCAGGCTGGCCTAGGGCTCCTCCATCCCAGGCTCAACACAGAAACAAGATTAGGGGAGGTACCATGGGAGGCAGGGTTGTGTGTGCATCGGCTGAAATCACCCTTATATCTGAGGACAGTACAGTGATACCCCCCGCCCCATGGCACATGCAGACACATACATAAGTATACACACACATTCACACACAGTCCTGCTGAGCTGCCTCAGAGCTTAATCTATCAATAAATAAGAATCAGAAAGCTAATTTCATAAAATTCAGGCTTCATATCTGCAGCCCAAATTGAGAGGGAAGTGGAGGCCAGAGGGCTGAGGTTTATTGCTTCTCCCCCAGCATCCAACAGGAGGTGTGAGAGGGCACCCGAGGCCCTTCCTTCAGACTCCAAGAAGTTCTTTTGGTCCATGGTCTACACCAAAGCGCCAGCCCCCAGCATAATTGCATATCTGTGGTTTCACCAGGGCCTAGGCAGAGGGAATGACAGGGAAGGCAGGAAGCCTCTTCTGGAACCCCTGGAACAGGGAAGCAAGGCCCCCTCTCTAACACAGGGGGAGAACAGGGCTCAGCCTTCTCTTGTGCAAAGTTAAGGGTAGTGGGGAGTAAAGCTTCCTCTCAAAACCGGGATGAAGGAGCCTTCCCTGTAGTCCCTGCCCATGGGGTCACACACATGCACACACGCACGCACACACAGCTAAGACACCAGACACGGGGAGTGGGGAGTGAGGGCTCTGGAGGCCAGGATGGCAGGGCAGGGAGGGGAAGGAAGGAGTGGTTGGTCTCACAGTGTGCCTGCCAATCCCAAAACCCCACAGACCCCTTCACTGCAGCACCTGCCCCCGGGTCTCAGGCA